CCTGCTGACCCACCCACTCACCCTGGTTTGGGGGTATGGGGAGCAAGTTCCTAGCAAAGATATTCCCAGGCAGACAGGGCTATGGGGGAAAATCAGAGGCCGAGCCTTCGGGAAGACATATTCCCCATGCTAAAGGTGATAGAGCGCACAGGGGGCAACCTGCCCCCACACGCACACCTCAAGCTGCATGAGGCTGGCACTTCTACGTTCCTGGCTGAGCTCCGCACCCCATGGAGGTGAAAAGGGAAAGGCAGCATAACCCTGTGTAAACTTTCCAGGCCATCCCCGTGATGAGTCATGGCTCTCCAGACAGCAGGGCAAAGGGCAGCAGCTGCAGCTCATGTATTTGGCAATGGGCTTCCTGATGGATCTTGCTAGTCTTAAGTAAAAGAACAACTGACCTGAACAGGAGGGGGAAGCATGTGGCTGAGCCGCCCTCCCTGTTGGCCTTAGCGGGAATTGAGACACAACACAACCTCTGCCCTGCTAAATGTCTTCATTTCATATTCCTCTCCACCCTACTGCAGGGAAAAGGCCACCCCAGCACTGTCCAGGCCCTCTGTCCATCCCAGCCCCGCTGCAGCACAAAGCCCTCATCAAAACATCCCCATCCACTTATCTGTTCTAGACCACTGCCCCTCTCCAGCTAGCCAGGCATGCTCTGTCCATGGCCCAGGAAACATCTCTACTTCTGCTGACTATGGCTAAACTCACATAACCAACTAGGATCAGAGAGTGGGAGCCTTTAGGAGCTTAGCATCTCTAAGTCTGAGATTACAGGGGAAAGGGGTTGAGCTAGATCTCAGGAGACACAGGGATCATGGATATTGTAAAATTTCTCAAGGAGCACGTGGCTGCTGGTGATGCAGTCGTGGAAGAAACTTTCTTTCTAAATCAGCACTGAACTCAATGCCTTGGACGTTGTTCAAGGGCACCATGCTGCTGGAGGTGCCATTTTCAAGCTGTTTGTCACGCTTGTGTTAGCACCAAGGGCCCACTTAAGGCCCAGTTTTAATTATTACACTGTGCCCCATCTCCCATTTCAATTGGCAAAGTTATTCTTCATTCCCAGTCCTAAATGGTTATGCGTTATTAAACAGCTGCTGCAGTTCATCCTAGAACTCTGGGATCCGTCTGGGAGAAGGGTAGCATATACACAGAAGATACTAAGCACCCGTTGATGACAGTAGTGCTGCCTGTGTTGGACAGAAGGCCTCCGACCCTCAGGACCTGCTCAGTGGCGGTAGGTCAGATCTATTTCCATTTCACATAGACCCTCTCACAGAATTTGCCTTGATGCATTTCGATACCCAAGACGTCAAGCACCTGGAGGCATATTTGCTCCCCCACCTCCTTTCTAAATGAAATCTTGCTCATTTCAATCGTGAGGAGGGTGGCTGGGCTTCCCCCTTCCCAGTGCTCCTAAGAGGAAATGTCTAATCCAGCTGCACACATAGGCAGAGCATCTCTGCTGATTCCACCTTCAGCCACCTCCTCTGCACATAACCCTGAAACAGACGCAGATTCAAACTCAGCTTCAGTTTATTAGTTGTGTTTCCCTAGACAATGTACAACAGCAGCAGCCCTTATTCCAGGAGCCTGAGGAGGTTGACCTAAAGAATTCTCTCCTTTTGGTTGATTCTCCAGCTTTAGTTAGATTAAGCTAAATTAAATAAATTAAACCCATAGCTTCCAGCTCCCAGGGGGAATCGCAAGTATTAGCTTCTAAAATCCAGTGACCTGCCTAAGCAAAGGACTAAGACAGGCCTGTTGGAATCCCATAGCAGTGAGCCTGGAAGCCTAAGCATCCTTGTCAGACCCAGGTGGTGGTGTTACAGGTCAGCCCCTGGTGGGGGAAAGCTTTGAAGAGGCCAGCCAGCCTGAAAACCTTTCCTCACTTATCCCCCTTCTCCGCACAGGAGACTTTTTTCACTCTTAGGCTGTCTCTCCTGGAGTCAGTGTGACTAGGCTGGCCCTTCCACGGTCCCTCTGTACCAGAAAACTACTGGGAAAGTTTGTAAACTCACCACCCTGCCCTCCCAGCTGTGGGGCGGGGTGAAGTCTCTGCATTGGTGGTGAGCAGAGATCACAGATCAGGCTCATATCCAGAGAAGGGATCGTTTTGGCTCTTGCATCACAAGTAGATTCATTAGCATCTGTGGCTCAGCTCCTGTAGAAAGGTGGCATGTCTGTAAAGTCAGTCCCCCTCACCCAAAAGGATGTCAAACAACACAAATCATACACATTAGAAAAGTAGACAGTATTTTCTCCCATAACCTGTGTAATAATTCAAAGCAACATTCTACCTAGATGGCTGGGAGAACGAAAGGGACATTAGAGTGGTAGAACCCACCCAAACAGAGAGGTGACATATGAGAAAACCACATGTCCTTATCCAAGCAGGTGGCCATGATGGGGAGGACTCTAGAGAGGGTCAGATAAAAGGATTCTCTTCTTGCAAGCGCTTATCAAAGGAATTTGGCATCAGCAAGCTCATCCCAGTCCAAGAGTGTAAGTTCCCTTTTCTGACAACACCCATTCCAGCTCACTCACCAGGAGCCTTGGGGCAGGTTTCTCTCAATAGCAGGAGGATTTAAAACTGATATTTGAAAACTTTCAGCAAAACTAAAGCAATATCAGTGCAAAAGTTGCTTCAGAGAGTACAGAAATTATCACCCTCCTGGGATTGCCAGGGTTTGGTGTGTGTATTTGGCGGAAGACTAGTGCTGGTGAATGGTGCCAGATCAGCAATCATGGAGACTGAAATCCTTTGCTTATCCCCAGCGTGAGCAGCACTGCAGTAAGCTACCCCCATACACTGGAAAAAGACAGTGTACCTAACCATGACCTGGAAGGACCCTTCTAGAGAGGAATTCAGATTCCATGGCCCAAGCAATCCTTGGCCTTGTATTGTCAACAAGGAGGGCAGATGGGGTGGTGGTTTCTGGGATATAGACATCTATTCACTAGGAACTGGATCTAGTCCCACCAATACATAGTCAATGGTGGCCACTATATCACCAAACAGTAGCACTCTTCAGTTACTACCAGCCTGGGCTGGATTTGAACCACTGCCTAGAGATGAAAAGCTCCGTATAACCAATTACCAGTCCCCTGGCATCATACATCCCCTCACAGAACTCACGATCCAGGCCATTTGAACTACAGTTCCCAAAGCCTTCCTGGTACCAACATGCTTGAATGTATTCAAGAAAGACAAATGATTGTATGAACCCTCATTGGTGAATTCTGCCTTTCCAGTGTCAGCACCACTACTTATGGCTTTTTATACAATTTTAGTTGTCTATGCAGCTATTCCACATGTCTATATTCAAATACAGGAGACAGCAACATGTCCTTAACTAGCAGCAATTTGTAAAGTCTTGATTTCCATGTTTCACAATATTCTTCAGGGATGTTTTGCTCAGTCCTTGCTCAGCCTCTTCACCGTTCTTCTCCATCATGTAGTATGTCACAGCACACAGCAGCTCCTCGCCTGAGAGGATATCAGGAAGGAGGAGGAGGAGGAGGAAGTAAAGCTGACTCCTCCAGAGAACAAACCACATATGAAGAGTGATTGTCAAATGTGTTCATTTTTAAAATACCATCCTGGGAATGGAAACTGTCAGGGAAGCAAACCTGCCAGTTCACCGTATGTGATGCTCTCAGATCAGTACTTCAGCTTCATATGTGGCCTTGCCACTGTGAGGATCCCCACCAGGGACGAGAGGAGGCCACAGAGCCCAATAACTCCTGGGTTGGTTTTGTAGATTCCCAGCTGGTCAAAAGGACTAGAGAGATCGCAAAGGTTCTTCACTGTGTCTAGCAACAAGGGAGGGTGTTTCCTCAGGGTGTGGTACAGCAGGAGGAGAAAAGGCTGCAACCCACCTGCATGGAAACTGAACAGATCCTGATCTTGTTCATCACAATGAGAAGAGTTCTCCTTCCTTGCCTTCTCCCTTTGAGCCTCCTGTTCCATCCGCCAGGAGATCTCATACAAATCCCTGGTCAAATTCATCAGCAGTGAATAGTAATAGCATTTGGTAGCCCAGTTCCGCCACGTCTGCTTGTCAATGTCAGGGATGAGTCCAACACTCTTCACCCACAGGACTGTGTCACAGATGAAATACAGAACACGGTTGAGGTTGGAGGCTGTCAGGCAGAGACGGGGCACCAGGTCTGGTAGCTGGGTAGTTCGCCTGGCTGCTACCATGGCATGCACCATGTTGCCCAGTCTGAACACTGCAAGAGAACCCAGAGAAGTTAGCATGGCTCACTCCTTGTAGGCTGCCATCCAGTTCTGCTTTTCAACAACTAATTGCTCTTCTGGGCCTTGTATATTTAAATATTGTCTTTTCATTTGAGGATAACTTTATATTTGCAGAAGGGAGAGGCTGGCAATAGTAGAGCCATGTATAGTAGACAGATACGATGCAAGCTTCACCCATATAGTTTCGTTGATGCACCTCAATATTCGCCAGCATCCCCTGCCATTCCAGTCCTGGGACATCCACACAGCTCTGCCAATGCCCGCCTGTCTGTCGTGACCTAGAACACCCTCCACTACTCCAGTCCCATTCTGGGGTCTCTTCTGAACGGGAACTACCGATCATGCTAAGTTCTAAGGTGTAAGTGAGAGAGCGATACAGACAGACACTCTGCTGTAACCTGAAGAGGATTTAACCCAGCTTTCTGGAAGGAAGGTGCTAGTGTACCAGTCCCATTGCACCTCTGAGCTACACCCTTTCTAAATTATTCTCGAGGGCTAATGATTCAGTCTGACCAACTCAGAACAACGCCTTTTCTCAGCTGCACATTTTTAGGGGAATTATGCTACAGCTAGTTCCCTGCCTGCAGGTGTCATATTTCAGTTCACAGCACCGATTACAAGTCTGCTTTCACTTACTCCACAGCATTGACTCCATCATGTGTATTTTCAGCAATACTAACCATACAACACAGCAGGTAATAAAGTGAGTGTAATTCTGGGGGGAGAAGGGTGTATCTACAATTCCATGACTAGGCAAAATGAGGTCCTGTGATCCAAGGCTGCATGGTAATTTAACTACTTAAGAGCTGGCATAACTGGCATCTGCTTAGCTGGAATAAGCAATATGAACAGGGACCATCCCTTCGGATACGGGGTACTTACATTTACGGCCAGAGCGCATGCTAGATTCCAACTTCTTGAGCTTCATTATCATCATCTCTTTGTCAGCCTTACGCTCTAATAAATAGCTAAGCAACATGCATGTGTGTTGAATGGCTCTGGAATGGAAAAAATGAGGAAAATGGTTGACAGGAGACACAAGGACCATTCGGAGGGGAGAGGGGGGAAGGGGGAGAAAGGAACAATTTCTTCCCAAGTTAGGGACTCCCTATGGACCATACCCATGCGACAGCACCGAGAGGTATAGAGATCACACGATATTACTTGTTAGGGTCAGCACTTTATGACATGAAGTGTAAGAAGCAATGCAAATGCAGCGTGAACATGACAATGGGAGACCATGCATCTGAGCAGCAAGCAGCCAATAGCGGGTTTTGTTGGGCACATTTGGCAATGCAATTGAATTCTGCCTGAAACATCCACAGGCAAATACTGCAAAAATGCTAGCTTGCAGCAAGGCTCTGGGTCTATGAAGGGACAAAGCCAGTTTCCCTGACGGATCAAGATGCAGATCATTAGAATTTTTTGTTTTTCCAGAGTCTGTTATTTGTATTGTGTCCTCAGCAATCACTAAGCAGCAATACATACCTACTGGAATGGGTAGAATATGGAGATACCCCATAAAAGGGGTAAAGCTTCATAAATCACCTAACCCACTGCTGAAACCCAGCCAGCTCTGGGGTGGATCACAGGAGCTGTGTGAGCACACACTAACATTGCACAATTTAGAAGTGGAAGTGAAAATCAATGTCTCCAATTGAATCTAGTAGCTTACAAATGAGTAAAGGAATTGAATTGAAACTGGAGGGAGGTTATACAGGAACAATCAATTAACTTGAGACAGACGGTGGCCGGCCATTGGGACAAACACCCCGCCACCTGGGGAAAGTGCTCAGAGATCACTAATAGCCACAGGAATCACGGACCTGACTTCTACTTTTCATCCAAAGGCTGGTAGCTCCCTACAGCACAGCACCCCAGCACCGCACTGGGGTCAGCACTGACTGGGGGAGCATGTCCCCTACTGAGCCCCACAGCACAGCACCCCCAGCACCACACTGGGGTCAGCACTGACTGGGGGAGCATGCCCCCTACTGAGCCCCACAGCACAGCACCCACAGCACCGCACTGGGGTCAGCACTGACTGGGGGACCATGCCCCCTACTGAGCCCCACACACCATAACACCCCGTGGCACCGTGCTGGGGTCAGCACTGACTGGAGGAGTGTGCCCCATACTGAGCTCGCACCCCACAGCACCCTAGCACCGTGCTGGGGTCTCGAGTCAGCACTGACTGGGGGAGCGAGCCCCACCCAGCACCGCGCTGGGGTCAGGGCTGGCTGCGCGGAGGCCCCGGCAGTGGCTCCCAGCGCTCTCAAGGGAGGCTCAGGTAAACCGGCCGCCCGGCTCGCGGCTGCAGGCGGGACCGGGCAGAGCTGCCGACAGCCCCCGACCGCGGCAGGGGCAGAGCTCTGCCCGAGCCCCCAGCCCCGCTCACCGGAAGAGCCGGTCCCGGCCCTGGGTCTGGTTGGTGAAGTTCACAAACGCCTCCATGCTGCCGCGGGGGGGAGGGGGAGACCCCCTCAATCTCCTGCCGTGCTCGGGCTCGGGACGCCGCCCGGGTCACACAGACAGGCTCCGCCCCGTGGAGCTGGGCCCGGAACCCTCCGCCCTGGGGCTTGTCTCCACCCGGACCGAGATCAGACTGGACCTAGCGCAGCAGTTACCATAGCAACCGATCAACGTTCGATTACAGGTGAGTGAGGGGGAGGGGACTAATCGCGGGGACGTGTCCTCAGCAACTCCCCCCCCCCGGGAATGGGGATCCCCTCAGCAACAGCACCCGGGAATGGGGATCCCCTCAGCAGCACCTCCCAGGGAATGGTTATCCCCTAACAGGGGAATGGGGATCCCCTCAGCAACACCCTCCCCAGAAGTGGGGATCTCCTCAGCAATAACCCATCCCCATGAATAGGGATAATTAATTCCAGGAGACCCCCTGGAAATCCAGTGGCTGGGCCTCCCAGCTTTGAAAATTAAACCTTGTCGTAAGACTCAGCACTTACCCCAGAATCACTTAGTCTTCAGGATCACATCAAAGCCTGCCTCTCATTTATCTATCTCCCCCACCCTCTGTCCCTTGGCATGCCCTTCATTGTAGAAGGTAGCATGGATCCTGATTTGTACCTAAGCAGTTCTAGTTGTTTTGTCTAGGACCTACTATCTGCTCCCAGGCTTGTTTGTGGGGTGGTAAATGGCACCCCTGCAGTTGCCAGCTCACAACACTGGTGGTTCACCCCATTTTCTCTGTATGAGTGGTTGAGTCAAGATGGCCTGCGGTCCCGAGCCAAATAAACCTGTACGGCAAGTATTTAACTGGTGACATTTTAGAACTCCTCCAGCAGAGTGGAGGAGAGTGGAAAAGCTTGTATAACTTGGGGTGTGGGTACAGCTCCCTGTAACTTTTCAGGAAAATGACTCTTTTGTGCTGGATTTTTTTACGCTTGTTTTCAGCCCAAAGGGGAATTTTTGGTACAGTTCCATTTGGCCCTTTCTGAGTTGTGTCAGTAGGAAATGTTTTGTTTTCCAAGTGTTTGTATATGATATTTCTGTGCGCTGATCATTGAGGTAAAGCCCCAAGGCCACCCAACAGGTCTGGAGCATCATTGTGCTAGGCAATGTACAAACATCTAGGAAGTCAGAGGCCCTGTCGGTTAATTTAAGAGCTACTAACTTTCCATAAGCTTAGTTCACAGTGACACAGGCCTTTGACTAGTGCAAAGAAACGTGGTTTAGAAATAAGCAAAGTTTTAAGCAGTTTGAAAAATGTTCCTTTGAAACAAATCATATCTGTGACTTTCTCCAGGCTGGATAAGCAGGGAGACAGGCAAAAACCTGCCTACGTGTATCTTAATCTATGTGTAACACCACACCCAAAACGTGTATAACTAGCTGTGCATTTTAGATGTCTAATCACTTGTGTACTTAACCTGCATATATCCACATGGATGGTACACGCATGGCACAGCACTGAGCTGTACAGGAGACCATGGGGAAAGCAGAAGCGAGTCCTACAAAATAGATATAGTCATTTCTCCATATAAAGATAGGAAGCTTCCTTCTTTGTTATAGCTAGATCCTAAGTATTTATCATCGTTTCCTCCCATTATCTCCAGGATCTATTTATGGTAGGATTTCCTGGGTCTCTCCATCTACTGTGACTACTGTGTAGGGCACCTGTGTTGTCATCACACCAGGGAAGGCAGAAAGATGCCAGTATATATCCGGAAACATCCCCTGGAGATCCCTCCACCTTCTGAAAAGGACTGGATTAAGAAGGACGAGGAAGAAAATTTCTTCCTGCAGGATCCCGATCAAATCTTTGATTCATTGCCTCAGCCTTTCCGGCTGATCAATAAACTGGTGACCTTAGTATTCGAGCAGGCCTGGGAAATCATTGAGAAGAGGGAGGCACTCCGAGAGGCACAGATACTGAAGGTCAAGCCCACGTTGTACCTGCCCACAGCTGAATTCCAGGTACCGAGACCCTTCACAGCACAGCTGCCACCTGTCATTACAACAGTTTGTCGAGGCAGTGTCAGTTCAGTTCCTTTTGCTTTCTTCTTCCATTGTCACCCCTCTGCCCATTTAAATTCCCGAGACTCCATTAGCATTTCCCTCACTTTCAGTTTTATTCCACAAGGCTACAGCTCTAAGCTTGCTCATCTGAGAAGTACAGGACATAGCCCATTTCAGAGTCCATCACACCTTCCTGGAAGAGGAAAGGTGGCATTAAATCATGTCAGGCTCACCCTCTGCTTCTCTGAGCCAGACTGACCCTAGCACTTGCTTATTGTGGAGAAGTTGATGAGCCTATTGCTATCGTATGGACAAACTCAACTGTGTTTTAAAAATAATACTTTAGAAATGGTGCAGAGCAACATCGAATGCAGCTGCACGGTGCCCAGGCGCTGCACGGTGCCCAGGCACTGCACGGGCTTCCTGAGCAGAATGTCTGCATTTGCGCCGCTCTCCCTGTGGGGGTAGCTGGGTGTGGGGAAGCTCTACTGCTGCTGAACGGTGCCTGGAGATTGAAGGCTTCTGTTTATCCTTAGCCCTGGCGGTGGCAGGGCGAGCTTCCCTGGAAGATGTGCCTCACCCTTGATATTGGTGGGATCTTTCTGAGATTGGAGCTAGACTTCATGACCTAGTGAGATCATGGGATTTTGCTGGCAAATGGCTGGTGCAGCTGATCAATCCCCCTGTCAGGGGTGGGAGGGCAGGGTCATGTTCTCTTCTGCTTTGTTTTTCATCTCTGCAGGTGATGGGAAGAGCCAACTGCCTTGCAGCCTCTGGACAGCATGTCTTTGTTGGGCTCTCCACAGGGCTTGCAGTTTTCAACATGCCCAGCTGTAAGCGGGTCTGTGCTTGGGAGTCAGCCAAGCTAGAGATTTGTGCCATCCGTGCCTCCAACCTTGGCAATGAGACCCACCTTCTCGTTACTGTTGATGAGATGGGTAGGTGCCCCATGAGCTTCCTCAAGTCCCACATGGGGAGAACTTTGAGAACAAGCTTGTGCACTATGATGGAATGGAGGTGGTGGGTGGCGGTGGGGAAAGTGGCATCTACTCAGTAGAAAAGAGCTAAAGCAGGATGGAAATAAGCATGACTAACACATTTCTGAGAGGGTCCTGCAAAAAATGGGGACTAGTCAACAGATTTCAGAGTGGGAGGTGGCCCCATGGCAAGTGCCCTCCCCTGTGGCGCAACAGAGGTTGGTCACATGGGGGAAGCAACACACTCAGCACCTCTCACATTCTGTAGCAATACCCTGGGCCAGTCAAGGAGTAATGTTGCTGGGCTTCAAGGCGGGGGCTTTCATCCAGCCCTTCCACTTCAGGGACAGTCAGTGAGCTGCAGTGTGGAGGTTCGGATGAGAAGAAAAGATCTGTCAGCTCCATATTGAGTCCAGTAGCCCCACCATGATACTAGTGTTTGCAGCAGTCCCAGAAGGGTCCATTGGCTTCTGGTTGAGTCCAACACTAATGAAGTGGGCTTTAGTTCTCTTTCCATTAGAGAGAAGAAAGTTGGATCTGAGCAAATCCCCTTGGAGCACAGGCCATCCCAGGGTGTGCGTGGGGGAGGACGTGTGAAATCCCACGTCCTGGGTGCTGCTGTAACACCCCTAGCAAGACAGATGCATAGATGCTTTCCAAGTTCTGAGCATCGCTGCACTGACCCCAATAGCTGAAAAGTGCATGAAAATGCCTGGGGCTCCCACCCATCTTCCCCTTTCCCATTTGAAGCTCTGTTTCCTTGGGGAGGAGGGCTGGATGCAGGTCTCTCTGCTTATGTCTACACTGCAGCTAGCAGCAAGCCTCCTAGTAAGCAGACAGACCTCACACTAGTGGGGCTCAAGCTAACACTGTGAAAATAGCAGTGTGGATGGGGCAGCAAGAGCAGCAGCTCAGACTAGCCACCCGAGCTCAGCGCCAAGGGGTCGGGTGGGCTTGAACTCGGCCAATAGCCTGAGTTCCCATCTGTGCCACGACGTCCACACCGCTATTTTTAGCATGCTAGCTGAAGTGGAGCGAGCATAAGTCTGTCTGCCCAGTCTGGGGAGCACACTCCCGCCGCAGTGTGGGTATTCCCTCTGGCTGGGGCCATCAGCACTGCTCTGTGTGTCACTAGACAGCACGCTGTGGCCGAGTCTTCTGAGAGCCACAGAAGGCACCTAGTCCTAGTGCTGTTACTGCATCCTCCAAAGGAGCTGAGCTGCACCCCTCACTCTCTTCCCACCCACCTCTCGCCTCTGTTTTTCTCTTCCAGGACTTGCCCGACTCTTTTATTTTTACAGGGACAGCCTGCTGCTCATTAAAGTCCTAAATGAAGTGGTAAGTCCTCTGTGTGTGCCACGGGCACTGAGGCGAAAGCCTCTGTGTAGTAAACAATCATGATTACTAACAGCACTCAGGAAACACACTGCTAAGGGCAACAGCTGGAATGGAGATCAGAGGTCTTGTTAACTGGGTCAATGGTGCATAACTCACCTGCAATCCTCTTTGAACCCATATTATCTCTGGTACAGACCCCAGGTTATGCCCAGAATCTTCTCTGAGATGTCAAAATCCCAGGGGTGCATCAGCATTCAGCAACAAACTAGCTCAACACCAAAGAAGCCTGTCTTCAAATAATGTGGAGTCTGACTCTGGCAGACTGAGCCAGAACCACTCAGAGACAGGGATAGGAGTGCTGGGCTGGAGGGGCTCGGGAGGGGGGCTCTGGGCTGGAGGGGCTCAGGCAGAGGGGTGGAAGGGCTCTGGGCTGGAAGGGCTCAGGTAGAGGGGTGGGGGTGCTCTGGGTTGGGGGACAATTTGTACTTGTTTCCCCTCTTTAGCATTTTGAAAAGCGCTTAGCCCTCCCAAGCCACTCACAGGGGGCTGGGCCTTGGGCTATAGCTGCATATCAAGGCTTTGGGGACTCTGGCCACCCAACAGGTTCCTGGCCCCCCTCCCCCTCTGTGCGCTGCACATCTCCTTTGTGACAAACCCCACAGGGCAGCAGGACGTCCCATTGCTGCCATCCCTGGCTTCAGAGCATCCCTCAGGCTGGGCAGCAGGCACACGGACCCTGCAGG